ACATGAAAAGGATGAATGTTAACTGGAAAGAACTTGAAAGGATCGCCTGGGACAGGGTTGGATGGAGAATACTGGTGTGCAGCCTATGCTCCTGCACTAGGGGTAGCAGACGTAAGTTAGTCAGTAGTCTTCTCATTTCTATCTTTATTTTTGAATTTCTGACATTATCACGATAGACTGTTATGTCAAGTAAATGTAAGCATAAACTTTGATTCTGTTAACCAATTTGACATAATTTCATTTACTTATAAATCTGTTTATTATGGTGTTTTCTAAACTGATATAAGATTTCGGTCAACAATACCAACATGATCTATTCCAATTAAAAGCTTCATTGACTTTTTTTTTAGCACTCCATACTACTAGCCATTCATATGGAATAATTTTTATTGATGAAATATAATAATCTCACATGACAAACTAAATTTTTATATTACTTGTCAATACTGTTGACATAGCAAATTAAAGATAATGAAAAATTTTTTTAGCATGAATTGATCAACATTTAAAAGAAAAATATATATCTGGCATATGTTAGATATATCACTTGACAAACTATTTCAGCTACATCCAAAACTTATTAAAAAGAAGTATATCACATTGAAAGGAGAAAGGATCTAAACTGTGCATGACCGAACGCTTTCAATATAGGTCAGTTTTTTTAAACAGTAAGAAATTTTTGATGGACAGAAATCAAACTGAAGTTTAGTAATGTAGTTGGAAAATTTAAGGAAATTAATTAAATATAAAAACAGTTTCCCTCATAAAATGAAATCAGCTGTAAATCTACTAACAACCACAGAGGGTTATATAGCCATTAAAGCGTAGTTTGGAATTCTCCAGAGTACATACGTATGATTCTGCACGAAATCTTGAAATGTGTAGTTCATATAAATCACTAATTCACAACCAAATGGTTACTGAACAGTAAGAAATGTCGTCGTTGCAACATATCAGAAACCTTAATTTACTGGCTTCCAATTTCAATTAACCTAATTTAATGCTTGCATCTTTACTCATTTCTATTGGCTTTTCTTACAAATTCACTCACTTAGAGTGCTGTGCACAAATCTCCAGCATACAACGTACATCTAGGCTAACCTCAATCCTAATGAACGTTGAATGTTACACAATACTGATATAAATTCACTGGTTGAGTTTACAATACGATTACTGAGTCAAGTAGCTCAAAAATTTCAGTGAGCTTTGTTTGATGTTAGCTCGTTAAAGTCAGTCAACAAATAGTTAAGATGCACTGTCACATTGGAAACTAGACAGATAATGATGAGAACAGATAATCATGATCAACTTCTTTTAAGTAACAGGTTCTGCTGAAGAAATCGAATATGACACTTCAATAATAATGTTTTCAAAAATATGATTGAAATATAATTGATCATTATTATGTTGTATATGGAAAGCAATGATTTTCAGAAAGATGTGTTGTATTAAAAAAAGTGATCAGCAGAAGTGATTAATTGATTTAAAATTATCTGATTAAAAAGACTATACCAAAGCTAATTATGCCACATTATGGATTCTCCATTTAAAATCTATTTTTCGCTTCAACAAAAGGATTGAATATGGACCTTTGTTAAAAATTTTGTGTTTTATTTCAAGCTGAATATTTAGCTACATTAATCATATAATATGTAGATTACAATCCGGCTCCTCTACAACACAGTGCTGATGAATCCCAAACTGGGACGAAACATACTGATTTTTTTCCAAGTTTTCAATTATTTACCATTTGATATTGCGTCCATGATAAAAAAATATATTTCAAACTGAAAAATCTGAGCAAACAACCCATTACTGATCATAGTCCCGATAGTTTTCACATAAAATATGAAGTTCTGTTGCTTCACTTTACATCAGCTTTTAACAGAATTAAGTATGAAATGAACAATAGTTCACGTGATTGAATTAAACACTCTATAAAACATTGTAAGCAAAGATGGATAGTGGCTAGCAGTGGAATCCAGGACGCGCGTTTCGTTCTATTTGGGACTCGTCAACTGGATATACCTGCATCTTAGAGTTGATGTTCATTCTGAGACTCGAACCCAGTACCTTTCGCTTCAAACGTCATCGCGTTATCCACTCGGTCACTGAACCCTGATAGCCACTTGCTTATGAAATGGGGTGAAGTTTGAATTCACTTAGTATTGTTTGTTTGAATCTTCCCGATGATGTTTAGGACTGCAACTGGTGAGTCTCTAATTGGCATATGTGCATACTGTGCATATTGCCTCGATATAGCCTAAATTCACAAACATTGTAAGCAAAGATGGATAGTGGCTAGCAGTGGAATCCTGGACATCCAGGAACATCAATGGGAAGATTCAAACAAACAATGCTAAGTGACACTATAAAACAGTTGACTTTGTACATAATTGTTTACATTCCATTCCTATCATACAGCGAAGAAGTCATTTAGTCCAGAAGTATATAATACTGGTTAGTCATCACTCAACTACAATAATGTTACTTGAAATAAATAAAAACGTATTATGCAATAATCAAATTCGTTCTGTTTAAGGTTTTATTTACTGCGAAATTTTACAATGAAAAGGATATAAATTCAGAAGGGGTTTTGTGGAGATTTAGTATTTTCCAACTATGAAAGATATAAATTCAGTTGAAAATTTAATTTCAGCATTAATGTATACAGTCAGCTACAGTATTCATACATAATACTAAAGGAATGTTATATATTATTGATTCTGCTCTCAATGTTTACTAGTCAACTTGGTTCATTCAACATTCTATATAAAAACACTTGTGAACTATTCATTGTAACTAAACATTCAGCTATGAAAAAGAACGACTAAACCGTATGTATATGTAGAGTATTCGTAAGTTACATTGTAAGTTCATACTTACATACTTCTATCAAAAATCAACTCTCCTAACAATTTTTATTCAGCTATTGTTATATATTAATTAATTTCCATTAATCAATATTACTGTGTAAACGTAATAGCAATTATGTACATAACTTTTTCTTTTTTAATTATTCATTTTGTTTTAGATTGCAAGGAGTTGAAAAGAATTTCTAAATCAAATGAATCATTTACAACTGTTGCTTCATAATTGTCTAAAAGTTCCTTTCTAGTGTTAAAAAAAGAAGGATATACCTGATAAGTTCTCATTAATGCTGGTTGTATATATTGAGACATTAATTGAAATCAACTTGACAGCTGATTCAACTTGTGCCTGTACATTTGCTTTCCAAGACCTAACGAAGAATGTAATTAAAGTGGATATACAGCATTCTGTGTTTGGAAACTAATTGCATTTCATGAGTTTCCTGTTCTTAATTACCAATGTAAAAACAGTTAATGACAATAGTCATTTTAAGATGTACGTTAGTCCAGCTTTCTGTGATTAATCTATCGTTATTAATTGGAATGATCAACAATCAATATTAGTTTACAAAGACAAATTCTGGACTCCATACTTCAGTTAGTGTACCTAGCTAATTACTCCTTACCATGGTCTACTCTGAAATCAAATTGTCAAGTCCTACCACTTTTTACTTCTATAATTTTCATTGAAGAATCTAAGGTTAGACACAATACGAAATTTAGAACTACCTCAAGTTTAAATATTTATCAAAAGTAACGGCAAATCATAGTGTTGGGTCAGTGAAAGGTTATTGGTTAGCAATAGAAGATCGATAGTCAGATAAAGGCACCTGTTCTGTAATTTATCCCTTTATATCTTGTCAATAGTAAATATTGCTTGAGTTCATAATCGATCTTTGATTGAAGTGTGAGAGAATAGTCTCGTGATCGAGTTTATTATTTAAACACAAAGCGGCACTGAATACATATGCGTCACACTTCATCACTCGATTAGTATGAAGGCTAAGATACTGCCCGAGTGGTTTTTTTAAGGGGCTACTCCCCGAGTTTATATTGCCAAATGAATAAGATACAACCAATTTAGTACATGATAATCAAGAACAACGTAGGTGTATACACTCTTTATCTTCCTTTAAACCTTGAGATTAAAATTGCTTCATAACCTTCTTCCTATACTATATCCTTACATACAACCTATCTTTTATATAATACCACTACTAAATTAACTACTTCTATGAATCCGGTGTTCATCTTGTTATGCTAATGAGGTATGGCAACTTGGACCGATGCATAAATGTGCCTAGTCCTACGTTGTAGCTGACTGACTGATTGACTTCTACTAGTATTTCAGCTAACATCACAAAAGAAACAAATAAACATTACGCAATGTATTATAGAAGTATGTGCTACTCCAAAATATTAAATGAAAGGTTTTATTGTCCATATACAAAACAAAATAATAATAATAATAATAATAATAATAATAGTAGTAGTAGTAGTACTAATAACAATAACTAAAATTAATATAAGAAAATAAAATGATAGAAATGGAGAAAATTAAAAAAAGAAACAGAGATAAATTATAAAGAAATAAATGAGATTTCTGTAATGATAATAATAATAATAATAGTAATGAATGTACCGGTTGTATGTGTTGAGAGGAATAAAACAACATTATGACAAATAGCATCTTACTATCAAGCTATACTTCACTAATTTCAATTAATTTCCGCGGAATTTTGAATAATAATAATAATAATAATAATAATGAAATATTGTTTACATATACTTTTAGGTATATCACTAAACACTAAGTTTATGGAATGAATCTATCCGAAAAGATTCTTTCATTCAAAACAAATGATCAACTGAAACCAAAAAAAATTGAAGTCATTTATTATCTGTAGTCTATTTAAAATAAATAACATGTTCACATATTAAACGGGCTATAAAGTATATGATGATTATTGTTATCAATAAGAATAATAATAATAATAAAAGTAATAACAAGAGATCAGATCAGCAAGTAATTTTGATTGAATATAAAGAAGAATCTTTCCAGGATCCAATAATTGGAAATAAGGAAACAATTATCCAATTTAAAAAAAAATAAGATGATTTAATCATTTACTATATTTTATCAGATAAGTCAGAATGTCTTTTATTTTTGTCACGTCGCCGCCGAACATCAACAGCACCACCAGATACACGAGTTGGACTAGTAGGATCATTATTAATAGGAGAAGATATAATAATAATTTCACGATTGGTGGTAGGAGTTGATGTGATAGTAATATTAGTAGAATTAGTATTGGTAGTATTAGTACTGTTACTAATAATACTACTATTACTACTGGGAATCGATGAATTCACTCCATAATTTGATCGAATTTTAATAACTTTATTCGTAGTATATGTTATTTCTGGTTTTGGTAGACAACTTGGAGAATGTATTGGGGAAAGGTTATATGATTCAATATTATGATTTACTATTCTGTGATTATTATCATCAACTTCATCATCATCATCAAAATTATCATCACAATTCAAATAGTAAGTACGAGAGGTGAAGTCGCGAAATACATCATCGACTGTTTCATCGTTCAATGTGAAATCAGATTTCTGTTAAAGAAATGAATAGAAAATAAATTGAAATAATATTATTATAACAAAGAAATCATGAAATTAATTAAACTGAGTAAGTTTAAAAGACTGGCTTTCAATGACAAAATGTGCAGTTATCCATGGGCCCTCAAAATGCTGAAGGTGGAGACAGCTTGTCCTCCATCTCAGAACGCTCTAATATGGCCGTGAGTTTATAGACCCCGAGAGGTTCTACAGATTGTCTTTATGTGGTGAGGTTATTCACTACGAGAATGAGAACCAAAAGCAAACGTCCAGCATTTTAATCAAGTTGGTACGTACAGAGAGTCTACTTCAGGAAGTCTATAAACCATGACTCTAAATTAATGTTGTACATGGGCTAAAGGATCTTCAAGGTTCAAATGCCGATCAATAGCTGTCGATCACGCGACAGTATCGCTTAACGTTGTTCCACTGCCCTGTGGATTAGACCTCTACGTTAAAGCAAGCTACATGCTCCAGCTTCAGCACCCAGGCAGTATCCTAGTCCATATACAAATGCCATTTTGTATGGTCCATACGTTGTGACTGACTGACTGGTCCATACTATTTTTGGTCCCCAGTTGGGCCACATTTCACCCAATATTGTGTCTGATTCTTATCTACAGGATGTATTATGAGCCATCATCCGGTTCATGTAATATACAAGCCTGCGACAGGACCAATCTAACTATACAGACAGAATGGGTAGGAAGCTATGCTACTAAAAAGCTGGAAAAGAATACCTAAATATCATAGATGTTTACAGTTAGAGGCAAGGATATATGTGGGTGGAAACATCAACGACATAGATAATCTACTTACAATAGATCGGGTTACATTTCCATCTGCCTTAACACACCCAACGGCCTTTAGTTGTTTGGTTTCACTCGGTATATCACAAACCTTCTTGGACTATTCTCATATCACTATGTGCTTTCAAATCGAAAAATGAAACACATTTATTAAGTACAGGGCCCCCAAATGCCCTACTAAAGTCGAGAGTGGGGAGAGTCAGCTCTCTCTCTCGAAATGTTCTCACACGGACACGCGTATATAGCCTCTGCCAGGGAAGTCCTACTCACTGACTTCTCGTGGCAGGGGTGTTGTCTAAAAAACTGAGAGGACGAAAAGCGAATGTCCGGCACTTTAACCGGGTTAGTGGACACGGAGAATCCACAGAGGAGAGTGAGAAAACCCTGTTTCCAAACCAATGGTGCACATAGGCTCCAGTATCCTGAGTGAACAAATGGCGCATGAATCAATCGTTGGTCACCAGCTACCATGGGATTGCATCTCCTCACGATGCTCCACTGCCTTGTGGATCAGACGTTCAGGTCGACGGCTCCGCGTGTGGCCCCCTAAGAAAACCACCTGCTTCAGTTTGGGCATATGGCAGTATCACAGCCCTCACACAAATCAAATGAAAGATTTGTGCGGCACATATATATCTGATGCCCCTTGTACCAATATTTATTTGTTTAAATAAATAAATAAAGTACAGGTCATTGAAATTACCCTTAAGCCACATTGTTTAGTGAGGGTTGGTTATCCTATCAGGCTATCCAAATTGAAGTAACATGTGGACTGGAGTTCAAACTTGCAACTCAGTGATTGAAGGTTATATGTTTTAACCAACAAGTCACCGGAAGACTAACAAATAGTTTAACTATAAATATAAATCATTTCACTAATTAAAATTATAAACTGCATTGTTTAATAAGCGGAGAATGAAGACAAATGTCACATAGTCGGAAGCCGCAGCCTAATCATTATTACCATTGTTAATAATACCAATAATGATTATTTTACAAATACAGAAAATAATTTATGATCTATAGTTTACTTTACATCTCCATAACCATATGTGTATACAACACTTTAAAATGACTTGGTTTTAATGAAAATTTCACAATGAAATAAATGTCTGGTATTTTTGTTTAAATAATCATGAACTAAAATGTAAACTTGAAACCTGGAAAAAAAACATGATTGAACGCATAATAAACAAGTAAATTATCAATTTTCTCTGGAATATAATAAGCTTAAAAATTCCACGGGCTACTAAAATTTATTAATCCTTAGAAAATCTCAAATGTAATCATTATCCATATAAGATTTAAACAAGCATTGTTCAGTATAATAGTCACTGCTGTTTTCGTTACGAATGGTCTCAGTCCTGTACAGAATTGAATCAAGAATATGAAGTGATAACTAATTATAAGCTGTTATTTAGATCCCAGTACCTGTTAATACTGAGACCGACCGCTGAAAAGTTTGTAATTAATGTATTGTTGGATTATGTGAATCTTAACTACACAAAATGAATTTCCTGAAGGTCCGTAACATCATTATTAAAAGTAATCAGAGGTTCAAAGAATGCAATATAGGATCTACACTTTGGTTACCTCCGAACGAAAAATACCAAACACATGGTGGCCTATTACATCACAATTACTTGCATGGACTCATTGCATCTGTGTGTTAATTGGCTCTTGTAAGAATTCCGTAATCATAAATGCAGTGATTTTGTCATATTAAACGAATGTTATCCATATAAGTTTGATATATCTATAGAAATAATAAGAAAATTATTTCTTTTTTTATAAGGATAGAGTGTATGCAATTTATGAGGTAAGAAGTTGAGAATATCAGTTGGGTTAGCATAAATTTCAAGTCTTAGGGAAGCACTCTAAAGATTCCAATGATAGAAGTTTTATTACTATTTAGAGTTTGTTAAGCATGCAGAAATTGCACAATAAATTTTTATTAAATTGATTGTATTTTCTTGTTATCTTGAAATGAAGCTAATGATCACACAAAACTAGTTTTCACTATGGACGACAACTGTAAACGACTGAAAACGTACACAAACCAGTGATATTGTATTGGACGCTACTCACAAGGTTGTCTGTAAGTAGTGTGTAGCGGAACGTAACGTCAAGGTTGCTACAACTGTCAAACGGAGTAAAACGTTTCAATGCATCGAAGGCACGGCGTTGTCAGAATACTTGGAGACCAGAGGAGAAGACAGTATAAATGGCAGAACACATCGAAAGATTTACATGGACGATTTAAGGGTATGTATATGTATATTGTAAATATTTAGTAACTTCTCGCAATAAATACACATTCCTCCTGCCTATTGTCGTGCTTTACGATATAGTGCTGAATAAGAAACTAACGAAATTAAGTAGCGTTGTCGACTTTGGAGATATGTTGTCGCAATCTTTACGTATAATAAATTCACTACCATTATTTGTTTGTTAAACTGATGGTTACTTATCCTCCAAAACTGACTTGAAAATGCTTACACCTATGACTGCATCCCATTTTGTTAATGGAATTACGGGAATACTAAATATCTGATCAATTCTAAACCGCTAGGTACAAAGTATCACGAATTCTAATAAAATAGAAGTAGCACAAAGTCTATTAGACATATTTGTATTCAGTTAGCATTTGTGTATAATAACGGGTTTGTTTGGGTACAGACAAAGCAAATAACTAAATGGGAATTAATTCCTCCAATGGTTATTAACATTTAGAGATTTATGAACTGTAGAAAGTGTCTTAGAGACCAAGTAAATCAATAAACTAACCTAGGGAAACGTTTGATAGAGTAGAGTATGCAAGATATATACATATATATAAACAAAAGAAGTTTGGATTCGTAAGATATTCCTGAATGTAAATCATACTGGTGTTACACTGTAGCATGATAGATATCCTGTAAATTTATAGTAGTGGTCACATTACAAACCAATCAATACTTCGTTATTTATTGAGTTTTTTAAACAAACTGTTCACAATAATTAAACTAACGAGTGTAGTGTGGTTGATAAAGTTTAGTGGAAAACTTGAACAGACTTCTGACTTGGTGTAATTTATCAGAAAAATGTGTAGCCTTACTATGTAGAAATCCTCATATAAGTATTTTCACGGCTGCAGCTTCGAGCACTATACAGAGAAGGCAATCAGTTCACTGGTTCTTGGGATCCATGTTCTCAGAGTATCTCTAGTCCTGAGTCGGGATAGCTTGGTAGTGATGTCTCTGATAGTAACACTAATTTGAATCTCATAAAAAGCATTAGTTCCCTCAATAATGCAGGTACGTCCTGTTGGTAGTTACCGAGTTAGCTCTCAACTACTTCTAGATACCTCGACATCTAACACCATGTTTGTTATTAATTGTTGATCAATAAATGAAGACTGCTCAAAGAAAAGGAAAACTGACTAACCATCGAAACAGTATAGAATCTGGACCAAACAATACATAAGTGCGCACGAGTTGGTATGACCTTTGCCGGTTCAATAAATGAACATACATATATCGTTACTGAACTACGTGAATTGGTTTTATATGTTAGGTGTAAAAATACCAACGAATCACTCAATATATCGAGTGAATGAAATATACTAACGTACGAAATGTAAACTAATTATAAAATGAAGAAACATGTGAGATTTCATACTGAACATGTTTGATTGACTGATGTGTTGATAACGACAAATATCATATTTTTCCAGTCCTTTAGTGTTGATCAAATTCTATCGGCCAGGTTCCAGTATGGTCACCAATCTAAATGACTAAACATTGTGTCCAAATTAGTGATTATATCTCAGACTGTAAAGCTGTATAATATGTGTTCGGATCCTACAGGGTGCACCAGTCTCATCAAAACTGACGGTACATCTTGTGAATGTTTGTCAACTAACCTAAAACACAGGTCCAAGGTTTCATGTTGACTACTTTAAACACCTAACGTACTGACAACGTACATGCCAGAGAAACAGATAGATATAAAAACGGAACCTTGTAAAAACCTGTACCAATGTCAAAAACAGTGTCAAGACGAAAATAAGAAAACAAAGTAGGATGTACTATACTATCGCTAAACGATTTGACTCATTAATTTGATAATATAATGGCCAATAACACAATTTTTTACAATTTCTAATTATCTTCAGCCCATGCACTTAACCACTAAAAACACAATTAACACTCAAACACTTTACCCGCTACTCTAACTAATGATCACAGTGGAAAATGTGTTATCATCGAAGTAACTCTAAGGATTACCCAAAAAAGATGCGAATGTGGGGGGTCACATTCAAACTTTTACCAATTCTAAATAGCGATTTTCAGCTGATTGTGGTTGAAGTTTTGGGGAGAGAAAGAGGTTCTTAACACTTTTCCTCGTGGTGTTAGGCGTATGCTGAATTTTGAAGGTTTGGGTATAACAGTTTTGCTGTATGCAGTTTTCTATAGTGTCCACTTTTACGACGGAAGATTTCTAACTCCTTGGCACTAGTCAATTTTCGACCACAGGATTTGCAGTTAGTTTCATTTTGAACGGGATTAACACCAAGACCTATACCAAGTTGACACTATCTCTCTCGGTAACGACATGCATTCCACACCACCCATGTTTTCAGTACATTTACAAAAACTACAACACAAAACATGCTCATATCCCACCATATAACCTAAAGTCGGAAGGCCAGGCAGAAAGGTTCACAGACACATTCAGGTGAGCACTCACATAAACCTATAGAGAATGGACAACGGATGAGGTAATATGGACATATTTACTTTTCTAAAAACCTCTTTAAATCCAGTTACAACTTCATCAACCGATTTAATAACTTTACAAGAATATCAGCATCGCCAACTTGGTGGTTCTTTTATATGAAAGAGATGCTTTACAGATACTTATGTCTTTCACTTCTTAAGTTCATAAGATTTTGTTAATAAATATTAAACAAGGTTATTTTCAAGATTAGTACACTAAACCTTCGTTAAACATTTAGGAACATCATGCAAACTGAATCATAAGTCCGAATCATATTTAAATACCCCTCAGATCATCTATTTGTCCCCAAATAGACGATAACTCAATCGATACTTATATTCTTAAACTGTCCATAAATCAAAGACAAATAAAGTAAACTATAGTAGCTGGTGAAGAAAGTGTGTCTATTTAAATAGCAGACATACAGATGAAAAGAAAAATAATTGATCATTTAGTTAATCTTATGTAAATTTTACACTTCCTATAGTTGAGAAATGTTTTAGACATGCTCATCTACCGCATGCAATCATATGCTATGCTAATAAAAAATGCTTAAGATAGTCAAACCAATAGATTGTGTATATACCCACAACGTTATTGCCTGATCAATAGAATCAAACCGAAAGGTACAAACTTGTCGTTTGGATCACATGTGACAAATATAATCTATGGTTGAATCCGTGTAAGCTTACTGAAATAAGGTTTCACACAAACAGATGATAATGAGAATTTAAAACACCACAAAAAAGCATATCATTTCAATTCTTCCAACTTTATGACAGAGTGAAGGGACAAAACCAATAAAAATAGGAAACTGCTTGGATAAAATATAAAAGACACTAGGTAGTGAAAAAAAAGTAAAGAAGTGATAAGATGTTTAAGATTTACAAAAAATTATAGATGTCTGTAGTGTTAAGATCAATCCTAATGAAAATCACCAATGGTCTATAGCCACCAATTTTTACCATTTAAAGAACTTCTGTCCAAGTTGTCAACGTTTCCTTAGACAGCTTATATAGTTACCAGTCAGTGGTTTTAAAACCTGATGGCATTTGAAACCTAAACACTTATATTCTCCCTCTGCCTAGAATCCTGACCATAGTAACATTCCTCTATGTTTCGATAAACAATGATCCAACATGTGCAATACATACTATCTGTTACCAATATTCGATGAAGGATTAGAATTTGTTAATCAAAAGTGTTAGTTTTTATCATAAACAGATAACATTCAAAGGATCAATGGAAACTAAAGAGCACTACACCTGGTTATTAAGCAATAAGTTGAAATATATTACAACGGTGTAAACACTGACTCGTCAATACATCCGGTTCCGCAGTAATCACTCTACTTATGTGAATTCATAAATTAAAAACTGTAACTGAATGTATTGATAGGTTAAATCTGATTAACAAACAGTAAATCATGAAAAAAGGCACATAAGTAAAGTACCATAAATTTGACCAACTATTACACAATTTGTCATTATTAACAGGCATAATAATACATTATCGAACTTAATAACTGATCTAAGTTAGACAACTAGTGAAAACCTGGGGGCACTGGACCGGCGATTCGTTCTAGTATGAAACTCCTCAACAGTAGGCATCCTTGACTACAGGACCTTCGGTCGTTTGCGCGCGTAAACACTAAACTCTACACCAATGAATAGTGATCCGACCGTGTACGAGTGTAACTTTAATCAGACCATGGTATTATGCAACCAACTTTCATTGTCTTTGGTGGGTAACTTCCTAACGCCTAACTCAGCTGAACTCCTCTGCACACGGCTTCGCAACAAATCTCTAGGAATTTTAATGATAATTAATACTAGTTAATATTAATTAGTACTAAAATTAAATTTTAACGACAATAATGGTAGTAATAATAATAATAATAACATTTCCACTAACCTTAGCAGTCTCATTTAATCGTTGCAGTCGTAGCAATGTTACAATATCAGCATTGGCTAACTCTAATGCCACATCCAATGGTGATTTGCCATCATTATCCAAGATCAGCTGATTAGCTCGTCGACGTAATAACAAACAGACCAAATGAACACGACCAAATTGACAAGCGTGATGCAATGCAGTTCGACCTCGGTTATCTTTTACATCAATCTAAGAGATGAAAAATGAGGGGAAACGTTGAAAATCCGACCTGTAGAACGAATTCAAACTGTTTAACATGACTTGGATAATTCTTTTTTGGAATCAATAAACGGACAAACTGTTTAATTCTTAATAAAAAAAATCAGTTAAAAGAGAAAACTCAAAGCGAACTTTTCTCTTACTATAAACAAAACATTTCCCAACGATTTTTACATAAGTATTTATAGCACATTAGAAAAGTATCGATAGGCGAAAATCTTCGGTCGATGAATCTAGATAGATTATGCACAGAGTGGAACAATTCTTGTAACAGAAAAAAACATATAGAACATCAACAAATGTGGATCGCCTGAATGTTAATATTGATTATTTGGAGAGAGCTGAATTTCTTTAATACAGACAACCGGAAGTGACATGAGATTCACAAGCTTGACAGATATATTTACCTTCTTTTATGGTTGTAATTAATACTTTCACTAATCCATAGTTATTTTTTGTTTAGTTTCTTCGCAGTTGTTTTCTTTTAAACTTATAACAATTAACGTAATTTATAGGTTTTCTCTGCATGCTGATTTCGTGGTTATTGTAATTTATAGTCTTCATTGATTCTTTTCGAACTGAATCTTTTATTCTCACTACTACCAATGATACTACAATTATTCCTACTTTTAACTTGTTACGTTAATATGAAAGTAATAAAAAAATTCGACTCAGCACTTGTATAGGATAAGTTATTTCAAAATTATAGTGATTACGTTCCAACTTACGTCCGCACCATTTAACAGTAAAAACTCGCATGCTGCTATAGAACCAATACGTGAAGCCAATATTAATGGAGGGTAACTACTGGCAGACATTTCATCAGTTTTTAATTTTCCATCTGGACTACCACCTCCAGTAAGACCGGATAAAATGAGAAGTGGGCAACCAAGTCGAGCACCAAAACTAACTAAATAATTTGCAGCAATTTTCTGTTCAATTATTCTCGAATGTGCCCTTGGTCCATTTTTTACGCTTGACTTGTTTTTTTCATATAAGGTCTTGATAATGCTTAACAGTTCGTCTAAAATAACAAAAAATAGCCAAACTATTTAAAGAATAATTAAGAAAATGAAGTTCACTGGATCATTGATTAAGTTAGACTCAAAGATAGAGGCTTTTACGGATAATCAGCCAGTTTAGCAACCACTAAGGATCAGAGAGTATCACTAGACTACTATTACCTTCTACTTTAAGATTTTGTGACAGTGTTAAAATTCCCCCCTAACCAAGGGGGGTGAAAAAGTATATCTAGGTCCCCTGCCAGAGACGCTACACAGTTACCACTGTAAACTCATTCAAAATTTACAATTTTCCAACCCAAACCAGCTTATACTATAGTCCTGTTGGATAAACTAATCCTTAAGAAAGTTATCAGTTGAATAATTACGCTTACTTAGAAGAGTATATTGACGAACATTATTTCGAGTTAATTTCCTATCGGGACTACTTGACATACAAATCGATGATAATGAGGATGAAGATTTAGGATGATATATAAGTTCTGGAAAATCCTGACGTATTTGAGCACATGCTTCTTGCCAATTATCATATAGCTGTTTAATCCACTGAACAGCTTCCGTTGAATCAGAGACTTTTTCTTCAAATGGTAGAGAAGGACGAGCAAATTTAAAACGAACCCATTTCGCCTCGATCCAAGCTTTACGTTGCTCAAATGGTGTGTCAGATGATAGACGAGGAAATTCTGATGCATAACGTTGCCAATTTGATTCGAGAATTCTATTTACAGGTTTGTTACCTAAATTCAACATGACATGTAATAATTCCGGTTGCCAGTTGTCTAGGGTCAATGATCTGACCTGTGTAAAATATAGAAAGGAGGTAAATACATTCAGAACTTAAATTAACTTGTGTCAGATACGATTAATAATCAAACTTCATGCATCTTAGGACCCACCATCAAGCTGGGTTATGACTATATATTTATATTTCATTTGAATAAAAACCGTTCATAAGAGCATAAAACAATCTTAAAATTCAGTAGATGAGAAAGGGTTTGTGCATTGAACTTTATATTATTTATGTGAAGACTAAGAACAGTATTTGCCTTAAAGAAACATAACAGATAAAAATGGAACTCAAACGTACAACGCTGTTTCTAACGGTTTGTATTCTCCCATTACTGGCGTTGAAGACAACAATTGATGTCTCATCTTTGGCATATGAATGAATTGACACAATAATGCAATAAACTTACAAGTGTTTATGAAAATTGGATACTAACTAGCGGTAGGATTCAGAAAGGACGAAGAAAGAGACTAACTGATTTTAATCTCTAATGTCAACAAAGAGAAAATACAAACTTTTACAAGTAAAACTTATACTCGTTGCACAAGCTAGTGACTATCGGAACTCAGTAGCTCAATGGATAACACGTTGGCATTTTAAGAAAAAAGTACTGTGAATGAGTTCATGGGATCCAGGTAAACCCAAATAATAGGACTCAAATAAGATAAAGCACATATCCTGGATACCACTGCTATCCAACCTTATTTATTTATTTATTTAAGCAAATAAATATTGGTACAAGAGGCACCAAATATATATGTGCCGCACAAACCTTTCATTTGATTTGTGTGAGGGCTGTGATACTGCCATATGCCCAAACTGAAGCAGGTGGTTTTCTTAGGGGGCCACACGCGAAGCCGTCGACCTGAACGTCTGATCCACAAGGCAGTGGGGCATCGTCAGGAGATGCAATCCCATGGTAGCTGGTGACCAACAATAGGTTCATGCGCCATTTGTTCACTCAGGATACTGGAGCCCATGTGCACCATTGGTTTGGAAACAGGGTTTTCTCACTCTCCTCGGTGGATTCTCCGTGTCCACTAACCCGGTTAAAGTGCCGGACATTCGCTTTTCGTCCTCTCAGTTTTTTAGACAACACCCCTGCCACGAGAAGTCAGTGAGTAGGACTTCCCTGGCAGAGGCTATATACGCGTGTCCGTGTGAGAACATTTCGAGAGGGAGAGCTGACTCTTCCCATTCTCTACTGTACCAGGGCATTTAAGGGCTCAACTTTACTAAAAACCTATTTATTGCCTCAGTCTCATTATTTATACTAGTAACTCACAAATTTATAGAAGTTTAGCTAATCATGAAAAAGCCTTGGACAAATGTATTAGTAGTTATCAAGTTTCAATAATCTTCTTGATATATATGGGGGATCAAACCTTGTTCACATGCACTCTCAATGCAGATATTTCTGCATTACTGTTACTTGATTTTGTCTTAATCAGGAAGAATTGTGTATTTTAGTTAAAACCCAAATGCTGTAATGACTAATTATGGGGATTAAATACCAACAAAGACCAATTAATTTGGTTTTATAAATTAAAAAGAAGAGAACTAATATTTCATTTATTAAATGACTGTTATAAAGCAGGAGACTTTTATTGAAGTATAATAGTCCTGATTGATTCAATTCTTTAGACGGCATATACTATTTTTATAAAAACAGTCAGACCTGAAAGATCCATAGCGAATTGAGAAAGCATGATAATACAGTGAATGTATTTCCGCCATTCGTATAGACTTTAAAACATAACACTTAACTTCTTCAGTCACTGAAATGATTAACAGGTGATCGTACACTAGTTATTTTCTTATCGGTCTTTTTATCCACTTCGTAACATAAAAGGCGGCTAGATTTTGTAAAGATTATATATATTATTACAAGTACACAAACACTAGTGGAACACAGGTGACAAAACAAGAAACGAAAATAAAGAAAATGTTATTTGTCATGTTTTTCTAAATGACTAACGATAAATTCACTCAGTGCGTTACTTTGTAGTCTCACATGATCACTAGGTCACAGAAATTCCCACTTCAAACAACCTCCAACTAAAATTATTAGGTCACAGAAGTAATTATGAGTACTTTTAACTATTTAGGTTCACGGGTCACATGATTACACAAGAAAAATATTAGAGTAAAACGCACCACAACTTTTACATTTGAGAAATAGATTTAACCAAAACAATTTAGCTACAATACTGTCTTAACAACTCACTTTTTTGATTGGTACAAGATAAAATTGTCATTAATGAATCAAAAGGCCAAGTAAAAACTATCATAACACCCCTAAATTAGTTTAGGGATCTTGAGAATATCACAGAACACACACAAATCACAATAAAGTGAACAGACTTGATATATACGTGATAACGAATCCTAATTGTTGTGTTATAAGCAAAATTATTTTATATCACCATTTTTATAGCATAGTCCAGGTCCGTACTAAATTCCCGGAAAATTATCGCTGTTATGCTATATAGACACTATTTTTGTCCATTGAAATTTATCATGGACAGATTATGTCAAAGTCAGCTACGAAATACAGGGGTGCAAAAGGCTGCAGTCCCTCTTGGAGTACCTGATCGAATTATAAAAATACTGGAGTTAAATGCCTAAAAAGGAGAGTGATATATGCCAATCAACTGCATTTAATACAGAACAGTTAGATATTCACTGACAAATATAGAATACCAGTAAGTGTAGTTATCAAGTCCCATTAAAACGGCAATTAAAGTTGCACATGAATTTTTTAAACACTCCACTTATAAAGACTGTATTACAGTAGGTTCCTAACCACTTTAAGATGGTTACAACACTTTATTAAGCGCAAACGATAACGAAAACATATAAGTGTTGCAGCATCTAACCCATTAAATGGGAGAAGGCGATGTATCTGGTAACTGTCAAAGATAGTTTCCATTCAATTAATCCACCAACAGAAAGTTTGACGCTAATGGGATCATTTGTGGGAAAGATCTCACATCAGTTACGAACCTTCAAATACAACTAGGACTTCAAGTCAAGTATTTTGAAAAGTAGTATACCCATCGAATTATTCTGGCTATCTGAATCATATTACATTGCATCTCGTAGTCAGTAGACACATATTAACCTGACGAAATGCAGGTTAGGAAAGAGTTCCATGTACTAATTACCCTCAGCTCTTTGTAGATGTAAAGGTTTATAAAGTTACTTTAAAAAACAGACTATCTGATCACTTTGAAACAGATCCACTATTGTATTCATTTTTTGAAAATGTGTATGATTTAGTAACCAAAAGAAAAAGTGCCAAAAAATTTGTTGCGATAATACAGCATCCATTATCTTTACCTAAAACTTAGTTTTGAACATTATCTCATGTTTTTTACTTCTCTATTTCACTAGTTCTTTTCGAACCATACTTTTATTGTTTAGTCTGGTACCATTGTTGATAATATTATTTCAACTCTTTCGTAGTGAATGTTTTTAAACTGGTTCTCACCGTGATGTGGGATAGGGTTATTGTTTGATATATATTTGTGTCACATCCTATATTGTTAATACGACTGACTAGCTGATTTAAGATAATTATCAATTTAGAATTGTTTTGGAATTACACTCTGATAAGTAGAATGAAGGTAAAAGTAACAACCAAAATTAGCGTCAACTTACCTTAGAAATATGAACACCTAAACTGCGATGAACCGCAGCGCACAACGTACATAATGTAACACCAAGATTAATGCTTGCCCATCTTGCATCTCCTACAGAACAATCAGAACAATAACGATTACCAGCCAAATCAGGCTCACGCCATAGCAAAATTCCACCTTTGTTATTCAATACATCTTGGCCCGAAATAGATGAATGGGACACTTGAGCTAAATGGTCATTTGTACGACCATTTGGGAATCCTGACACAGAACTAGTTGTTGGGCTGTTAGAAAACTCCAAACTATTTCGAGTTGGACTGCAAGAAGTTAATAGATCAAGCGAATTGCTGGCAAAGTTTTCTTTCAACATTCCATTCTTTAAAGAACGTGGCTCACTAGTACGGCATAAATCATGAAAACCAGATCGTAAAGTATTAACCCAAATATCCAATTCATTTTCACTAATAGCCTGTAAATAATATGTTCGATGGCCTGAGGATATTACTTCAAAAACAAATCGACGATCTGTAGAATTATTCAATAAGTTTATAGGTTTCTCTGCAGCTGTCAATCGTTTATTTGGTTGGGCAATCCGGGCCGTACAAAATCTAAGATCACTTACCATAACAGTCCATTGTGGGTTAGCTTGACAAAGTAACTGTGTCAGAAGACCACTTTCAGACTGTTTATTTACAATCCCATTTGTCAAACGATCAGTATTCGATACAGATGAACAAACCCTTCGGTTTAATTCCGTGGACACTGTGTCAGTCGCAGACTGGAGGTCTGTAGATGTCAATCCATGGAAACGTTTACAATAAACTAACTGATTTTCATGTACACGGAACCATCGCCGAGACCATGTACGCCAACCTTTCTTTCCACTTCTCTTGAATAAGTAACCTTCCAGTCGAGGGTTCGGTGGGTTGTTCAAATTTGTAATAGCTTTTATTTCAACAGCTGCAGTTTCTGATGGTCTGATTTTACTGGGAACTTCAGTATTTGTTTTCTGCTCAAAGTTAGTGATTAACTGTTTACATTGCTGAACTAATATTGAAGAAGTTAGACTGTTTGTCTTACTGGAACTATTAAATAATAAACCCAATTGTTCTGAATAAGATTGTTGAATAGAAAGTGCCAATATTACCAATCGCATATATGAAATAATATAGTTTGGTCCAATTACTTGACGAAGATGGGATAAATAGCCTATTGCTGTCCTCTGATAAACTTCTTGAGCCTCTTTAACTTGATTGTCAAATAATTGTAAATCCATAGGAGATCGTGTTGGATTCGCTGAAGCAGCTCGATTTATAACACTATCAAGATGCTCATAAGCACATTGGAAATTTGTTCGTAGATCATACAACTTATTTAGGCTATCGTTATTTTTCGATAAAACATGTTCTATATCCGATATTTTAGTGGCTAATTTTCTTGTTTGTTCTGCAAATAAACTTGTTAGATGAGTAGCATGATTAAGTATTTTCTGTGTGCCAAAATTATTCCATTCCTTCGACAAATTTGAACTGAATGACCATGACTGTTTTTGATCTAAACCCAATCCAATGCATTTGGCCAATTTAAACAGAGAAGAGGAAAATGCTTCACCAGTCTGAGGAGAAACAAATGAGACCAATTCTAGTGAATACACAAGAGAAAATATTTCGAAGTACAATGTTTTCTAATATGATCATTTAATTAAATGGAAAATTGTGCACCTGACAAATCCTTGATTAAATTTAATGTAATTATCAAAATAAGAAGGGATTCCTTGTAATTGGTTTTGAACCATACGATTATGTGACAATCAGAAACGCTCTACAGCTGCTCAACCAAGTGAAGAGGAATTTAAGTATTTTAGTCACCGAACTGGAGTTAATAAATGGGTATATGATTGAACTTGTTTCTTTATTTCTTTCTTTTTTATTTAATATATATAAATTGACATAATTAGACACCAAAAACGTACCACACAAGCAAAGAGATATAGAGAGAAATGGAAGAGTGAAGAACTGGATTTTAAAAAATAAATGAACAATGGCAGTAAATAGTCGGTGAGAAAATTTCGTTAAAAAAACAACAAAGGACTCTTCTTGTTAGAAGCGTTTATCTCAATTTTATGGGGAATGTGAAGCAAAATTAAAAGATCTCTATTGGGTTCTGTTATAAAACGTATATGATAACGAGTTGGTTGCAAGATGCTCCCAAATGCCCTACTACAGTCGAGAGTGGGGAGAGTCAGCTCTCTCTCTCGAAATGTTCTCACACGGACACGCGTATATAGCCTCTGCCAGGGAAGTCCTACTCACTGACTTCTCGTGGCAGGGGTGTTGTCTAAAAAACTGAGAGGACGAAAAGCGAATGTCCGGCACTTTAACCGGGTTAGTGGACACGGAGAATCCACCGAGGAGAGTGAGAAAACCCTGTTTCCAAACCAATGGTGCACATGGGCTCCAGTATCCTGAGTGAACAAATGGCGCATGAACCTATTGTTGGTCACCAGCTACCATGGGATTGCATCTCCTCACGATGCTACACTGCCATGTGGATTAGATCTTTATATCAATGGCTCGGGGTATGGACCCCTAAGAAAACCACTTGCTTCGGTTTGAGCCCCCGGGCAATATCCCAGACATCACACAAGTCGGATTACTTTTGCAGCGCATATATATTTGGTGCCTCCTTGTACCAATGTTTATGTCTAAATCAATAAATAATAAATAAATAATGCAACTAATATGAATTTCAAGTGTTCAGACCAATGAAAGGAACGTTTCTTGAAATAACTATTCAAAAATAAAAGACCATTTTAAAACGAAAGGATCCCCAATAAGAGAATGAAGCACAGATTAAGGTAAATTATGAACAAACTGATCTTCCAACATTAATATAGACAACAAATCTATTTAGAAACAATGTGACATTTTAACACAGTGATCAATTTTATGGAATTAATTCGCTTTTGAAAAACATCTATATAGACATTGCTTATAACAAATGTCACTTAGACGCACGAAAATCTGTGTATATTCTAGATAATCTAACATGCGATATCAGATGTCTCTATCAAAATGTGTACCACTGTGCTGCACTCAACTACAAGGTAGGTAGCTTTTAAGAGTATTTAAATAAATACATACCCATTACGTTAAAAATATACACGTAACAAAAAAACATAAATAGAATACTTACAATAACAGATTGTTGACAAATTTCTTGAATGAGATTATAGTAAGCCCGGATTCGACAAATCGTCAACTCGGCATATGCAAGAGTTTGATGTAGTTCAGGTGAGTCAGCAAACGCTCCAAATTTATTCAAAGGAGAAGCCAACTTGGAAACAAAGTCATCAAGCACAGCCGATGTGTCATCAAAGCACTGAGCGGATTCTAAACCAGCAGACATCTGTGGTATTTAAGAATGATTCACATGGACATTTGGAAATGAATATGTACAATTTATCTAGTAAAGAGATGGAAACAAAATCAAAATGAAGAACGTTGAGTAGATAAAGTTGCGAATTGACATGTAATTTTTTTCGAAATTAAACATCAAATTAAAACAATTACAAGGCAAGCAGTTCATAAACTACAAACTTGTTGACTAGTCAACGTGTATAATCAGATAAAAATAATCCAATGATCCACAATGTTACGCTATGTGCAGACAAAACTGTAAACAACGACAGAATGTGAATGGAGGCGAAATATAAAAAATAAAGTGATAAAAAGGTTCTTTACAGTGTGACAAAGACAGCATCTATTTGCACCACTATGATCGGTTTTCAGATGGTTCATACAAGATTTTGCAGTACCAGCAAGTAAGTTAATATATTTAAACACCATTCAGAACATTAGGAAACTACTTTTCAAACAAATATAGCTCGATTACAACATTATGACTCATAATACTATTATTACATTCGTATGATGAATTTTTGGTCTCTCATTATGAGTTAAATAAATGATATATGTCAACCCATATTGTGTTTTAACGTAAGTAACATGTGACCCAGTTACAAAGGGTAGTGATAGTTAAGTTCATCAACTGACTTACCTTCACTACCAAGAACATTACCCTCAACCCCAACAATCCTTACTGGGTGGTCTGGCCATGTACAAATAATAGTTCTAAGGAACTTTAATCGAGTATCCATAATTTACAACTACTAACTTTCACATCCATGCCTCATCTGTAGAACGTTACCCTACAAACTGTTGAACAGTGTAGAAAAATACTTATCGAATTGCCTTCTAGAGACTTGCCATATTTGAATATAACCACCGAAAGCCTTCACCATCTGAGGAACTACCAGAAAAAGCCAGTAGGAAAACTTAAACTATAAAGAAACAAGTTACGAAACCAATGAATGTTGGAGTGACCCAACCTTATAGATACATTCTACCAAGATAGTGTCCGCAAGTTGTGATTTGAACTTGGAGACCTTAGATGACAGCTTTATGGATCAGCCATGGTAGTAAATATGTGCTTTCACGATTATTATTTCTACTTATGTATTTAATTTGTTTTGTTTGAATTATGTAAGTACTTTTTGACTGCTAACGATAGTATTACTTCGGCTCTTTCTATGCAAATTGCCAATTTTCCCCAATACCGTGATATTATGTGAAACAGGTTGAACCGATTCATATCTTTGTTCGATTTAAGTCTTTTAACTGGCTAAAAAGGCTACCAAACTATTACTAGAATTACTTTTGAAATGCGACACGTTTTCAACGAAGCTTTTCCAACACTAACCACCAACTACTTTTGAGAATGTATACATGTCCACTGATTTCATAAGAGCTTGAAATATCAGTCTACCATTTTTCTGGTCACAGTTAAGTGTAAAGTACATGATTAAACCATCTGTGATATGAAATACTAGACGCTAAGTGAAGACAACAACAAATATTGTTCGCCAAACCTTTTCCCGTATAAGAAGAACGGATTGATTTCCAAAACTTTCGGACATTGTTTTTTTATAGGTGAACCAACTTATTCAGTTTTTACCAGAAATAGTGGTTTCATAGTTTTTTTATTGACGCCTGAATTTTTCGTCTTCTCACAAGTGGCAATCATATCACTCGGGGACTAATGAGACATTGTGGTTATTAGTAAGGTACTGATTAAAACGAACCTTTGTGGAGACCATGTGTATTGACCGTTTATAAACGACCAATCATAAATAACAGTTGAAATCGTCAGGTGATTGTCCATTAGCGCCATCCTGACAGTTTCCTCATGAATAAGTGCAAATAATTTAGAGAGTTGTGAGTAATCGTTTATCGAATGATTTAAAGATCTACAGACAATGTGCAGCACTAAGATGCACATTACTTGGATTTACACCCTTAAGAACCCGAAGAATAAGGAAATCCTAGGCGACTACACACCTGTACTTAGTTACTTATACAACAAAACTTTCCTTATATAGTTTATATTATGTGGGGTTATGATTTCAGGGTCATTCCCAGTTCCTTTACACCGTTAAGATCCATCACAAAATCATATCTGTTCAAGTGATCAAATAAACACTGTTTCTAAAAATGTCAAAACCCTACACAAGCGTAAAAATCCCTAAGATGACCAGATAAACGAACATACATCCTGTCAAGTAACTACATACCGAAAGACCTTGTCGTATCGTACTAATTTGTATTGGCGCTTTTGTAATTGATCGAAATGTTGCAAATGGTTCCGTACAAAATAGAAGAAGCTTTCGCTTAACGAGCTTCACTATCCAGTAGCAATGGATCGCCGAGGTCTCCAAGTAGGAACCTAAATATGTAAAAGACATACATAAAAAAGGAAAAAGGGAAAAGTTGATAAATCATAATAAGTCACTGTCCTTAGTCCTTAAGAATATGTCGAGTTTTCTTTCAAAGAACTCCTTGGACGTCGATTTGACTAGCTCAGACAGCAACGAATTCCAGCATCTAACTACTCTTAAGGTGTATAAGTTATGTCGGCAGCCAGTTCTGCTGTGTTGTCTCTAGTTTCTGGGTGTTACCCCAAAGTTTGTGTTGCGACTAGGGTTAAGTAGGTGTCTCGGGAGATGTCCAGAAGTGTCAAGAACGCTGTAAGTAATCATAAGGTCACTTTCAAGACGCCTGTGCTCCAATGGATAAAGGTTCAGTGATTGGAGGCACTCTTGATAAGTCTTGCCGCTGGATACTTCCCAGGGTGTCCTCATCTTTCTGGAGTGAGTGAGGAAATACTATTTTTCCTCACCCTGAATGGTAAGGAATAAAAATGTTGAATATTATGTATAAGGTTCTTCCACTGAAGTGGTCAAAAATTCCCTTCAATATTGCTAGTGCAAGGTTTGCTCGAAAGGCATTTTTGTCGCACATAGAGTAAGACTTCAGAACGTAGGGTACCAACACTCCTAGATGTTTTTTTTAACTTGGGATACCTCTAGAGGGGAGTTGCCTGAGTTGTAGTTGTGGTCTGCAGCATGTCTCAGATGGGCTACTTTACATATTGAAGTGTTAATGATGAGTCAGTTGTCATCTGCCCAACTTTGAAGTCTAGTCGAATTCTTCTGAAGTGCCAGTTTATCCTATTAGTTTCATACTTCTCCCCAGAGTTTCACATCATCAGCGAAAAGTAATAAACCTGACGATACCTGTTGTGTGAGATCGTGTACATAAACCAAGAAAAGAAGAGGTCCCAGTACTGAACCCTGGGGAACACCACTAGGACATTATGTGGCCTGAGGAAAAGTGAAGTTAACCCTGACATTAAAAAGTCAACCAGTTAGATATGAAGCAAGCCAGTCAATCAATGGTAATATGGTGCCTAATCGTTCGAGCTTATCGACAAGACATATATGGCTGATCATATCAAAAGCTTTTGAGGAGTCAAGGTATATCACGTCAACCTTCTCCTTGAGATCAAGAATAGTCACTATCTGTCTACCGCAGTCAGCAGGTTGGTTGCACAAGAGTGATGTTCTCCGAGGCTGTTCTGTCGTGGTCAATAGAAGTCTATGGATAGTAAGCGGCCACGTAGGCCTTCACATATCAGGGACTCCATAATTTTTGAGGGTATTGAGAGAAGTGCCACGTACCCTTAGCTTCAAAGTTCGCTGAGTCGAAGTCTTTTGAAAATTAGTATAATGTGAGCAAGCTTCCGATTTTCTGGTACCGTGCCTCCGCCTATCGAGTGCAAAAACATCACACTTAGCACTTTCTCCAAGATTGAAGCCGCTTCCCTCAGTATAGCAGGATTGACCATATACAGGCCAGGAAAGGTGTCTTTTTTGAGGTACTGCGGTTTCCGGTACAACACATCAGCGCTCATATTCAGTTCTGGAAGTTCTATGGAGTTGCAGGGTAAGGCGTTCATCAATACAGTTGGTATGAGTCAGTTGAACTGTCCGAGAGTACTGTTCTGACAGGTCCGCGGCGTCACTGTCGTTGTTCGTTAGGTTACTAGAACATAGCAGTTGGCAAACTCCAGTTTCAACTTTTCGAAGAAAGGTTGCACAGCGGAACAAGCTTTTCGGAGTGGAGACAAATTGATTAGTAAGCTCTATCTGATTTTGAAGCCTCTCTTATTGCCTTTGTGCATAAGTTCCTTACTTGTTTGGATTGCTTGTGTGCTCTGTTGTTACTGGTTTATTTGTATTCCACTCCGTAGTATCTTTTGCAGCTCAACAAACGAACAGCGTTGTTCTTGATGACTTTAGGTCGCTTGTATATTTTGGGGACTGTTAACGGAACAGGCTGTTTCGTAGCATTGAGATCGTGTGCAGTAATAAATGCAAATGAGCATCCACATCAAGTTGAGGGTGAACTTCAAAGTCTACTTGCTGTAGATTGTCCTGTAAAGCTGACACATTAACCGTTTGAAATTCCAACGCCTGTTGTTGGTAAGATGTCTTAGTTTAGTCTTGCTGATAGGATTGAAAGCTATGACAGCATTATCACTTTTACCAAGTGAAGTCAGAGTTTGGACTTTGTTAATTAGGAATTCTATATAAATACACAGTCTAAGCGCGTTGGCATCTGACTGATCCCACAACAAGTTACTGACCTGACATTTTCTAATAAATCCAGATCTTCAGTAAGGTTGGAGAACCGAGCTTCAGCAGAGTTTTCACCACCAATGTACGCATGTTCCGTGAAACTGACTTTAGGAAAATCGAAGTCCCCTAGAATCAGGATACGAGTGTATCCGAGGCGAATAGAGAGAGATAATACTTCCAGCATATGATTGTCGAACTAGGGGTCAGCAGTGAATTTTTTGTAGATGACTCCAACCAATTATCCTTTGCAATTAATTGTGACTATTATAGCATCATTCTAAATTATTATTATTGTACTAATGTTCACACTAATACCCGGTTTCACTCTGTGTACTGTTACATAAATCTACACATATTTATCCGAGTGCAG